CAGCAACATTACAACCTAACATGATGACATGATAAGTTCTTTACAAGTTTATAATGTCATTCTCACTATTACAAATCTAAGCATAGACTAAGCTATTCTTAACATGTACATGTGTGAAAGAGCAATGTGAATTTCATAATGGATTATCAATTAGTTTTTTTTTTTCCCACTAATGAGCCCATAAAAGAAGGTTCTTTTGAGGTTATCAAACACATTTTGAGACTGATCCCATGGATACTTCAGCTATGATGCTGGAAATGTATAACAGCAAAATGAATAAAGCTGTTTTGGCTTGTAGCCAAATAAATTGATCGTTTAAACAAATTGAACTAGCATAGTTATTTAACTTGTGAAAATAATTGGCAAATATGTTATCACAAAAAGAGGGGAAAAAATCAGTTTCCAGCAGTAAATAGCATTGTCATCTAGAAAAATTTGAAATAAACTTACCAAGAAGTCCAGTATAGTAGGTAAGAGGCACATCTGTGAGTTGAATTTGGAACAAACGATCTGGTGCTGTTATGAGACTATACTCTTCCCAACCAGTCATCCCCCAAACAAAATCGCCATTTTTGAAATCTGGATGAGTAGAATCCAGAACCTTGGCCACTCCATAACCACTTAGAGGCTGTGCAATTTCACATTAAAAGGTCAATTAACTGAGAGTAGAATGCCAAATTTGAGTAGAACCAGAAACCCAATTTGTTTGGTTTGCTTCCCCGTCTAATAGAATCCAATTCTGAGTTCTGTTTCAATTGCAGCAATTGTACTCAACAAATAAATTTTCTCTTAGCCACTGTCCTAATTAACACTCCATTTGGATGTTGAACCATATGAGAGAGTTTCGTAATTCACTGTCGCTGTAACTATCATCTATGATTTGAACATAATTAGAACGAACCCAATACAATAATCCTGATTTCCCTCTCATGGTTCATAATATATGTTCATTTTCATGAGTCTCTAATCTATAATTTCACATATTAACTTTGTCTTCTATATAATCATCAAAGCTTCAAATTGACCAAGAATATATTACCAGAGAAGGAATCAAAATCTGCATGCAAAGATCACTACTAAAAAAAGGGAAAAGCAGAACAGAGTAATTCTTGAAAGTAGAGCAGTAAATGAAATAATAAAGGAAAGAAAAGGTGGTCTGATTCACATACTCACCGAGCCAGTCTCAAAAGAAGCCACATAAAAAGATGTTTCAAGCTTCTTCATGCAGTTCCTCATGTAAGGATCACAAGACAAGTAGAGATTCTTGACTAAAATTGCATCTTTAGTACCCTCTGGCACCTTCAGTTGAATGCTACCTTCTCTTACTTCCATGTCTGATTCTTTGGGGAGACCCTCAGTCACATAATTCTTCAATATCACCTGCTTGTTCCTTACCACTTGCTCACCACCGGCCATTCTTAGCTGACGGAAAGAGATGCAACTGAAACACAAAGAGGAGTAGAATTGAGAAACGAAAGCCCAAGTAAGCAGCCAAGACTGAAGAAATACAAAGAGAAGAAGAGGGAGAAGAAATGAGGAAAGGCAGCAGTGGCAGGGTGAGGTGTTGAGAAGGCAAAGGGGAAGATATTTGTGGCTTGGAACGTTGCTAAGGATGGGACAGAAGAGAGGGACGTCAGAGTTTGTTTTCATTGTATGTTTTGCGACCACACTCCATACCGTGTTCCCACGGGATTAATACTTCTAATTTGATTTTTTTAATACATCATTTTTAATTTTGCTACTTTTTAATCATTTTTACTGACATATGTAAGACATTTTTAATGAAAATAATAATAATAATAATAATAATAAGATAAAAAATCTTTTGAACAATTATGATTGTTTAAAAGTTATGTCTATTCAAATAATTATATTTATTCAAATAGTTATATCTATATTAAGAAATTTTTAATAATAATAATTGAACGTTTCAAAAAAAAAAAATAATAATGAAAAGATAAAAAGAATTTTTTTTAAACAATTATGATTGTTTAAAAATTATGTTTTTTTAAATAATTATATTTGTTTAAACAGTTATGTTAATACAAAGAGATGCATTTTTCTTTATAAATAATATTCTTTGATTTTCTGAATATAAACGAATTAAAATAATTTACAATCACCCTCTTCATCTTCTCAAAGTTTTTTTTAGAGTTTAATAATCTTGTCATACATGAGTACTCAATAGATTAACTTGGTCAGTGTAAAATACAGTTAATTACTAGATTTAATTATATTTATCAATTATAACTTTTTGCATAATAGTGAGAGAATATTATGATAAAGGACATTGAAATGGATTGCAAGGTGGTGGTTGATTGGATTAAAGGACACTTGTCGGGTGTTTTGAGACATATTGTAGAAGATTGCCTTAATCTAATGGTGAGCATTGATTGTGATGCTATTCTCCATTGTCCAAGAAAGGGTAATGAAGTGGCGCATTTGTTGGCTAAAAGGGCAAAAGACATAAGGAAGCGGTGGCTTGGTTTGATTTATCTCACATGCTTTATGATATTCAACTTGTTATTATTAGAGAGGCTAGAAGTTCATTTGAAGGTGGTTAGGTTGAGGATGGATATTGTAATCCCAATGATTATATGGTTCAAAGAGTACTTTTTTTTTTTTTGATTCATGGTTTTTATCCCTTCATGAAGACGTTTTTAATGAGGCTCTTTAATCATGTAAAGGGAAGATTTCTTAAGTTATAGTGAGTATTAGTGATTGTCTTTTTATATATTTATATGTTAGATGTAATTTAATTTGATGAGGTAATGAAATCATATTTCACTCAAAAAAAAAATCTTTAAGTAATATAAATACACGTCTTGAAAATTTAATATTTTTTATTTTCCAATCTCGTGTTTTAATAATATATAAATAACTGAATAAAAAATAAACTTTAAATGATTAAAAAAATTGAATCCAAGCTCTTTACAGCATTGTAAAAATGGATTATGATTGCAAAAATTTAGGCCATTGATATATATTCATTTGAAAATTAATTAATTTATTAATTCTGATGAATGTACTCTTAAAGATATAAACTAATCCTTTAATTTCATATGTAGACATGATTTTCTATCTAAGAATTCACGGTTTGCATTTAGGATGTTGGCGAAAAACCGAAATAAACATGATCACTCTCCATTGATGAATCTTAAAGCAGCATATGTTTGTAAGTTATGGCGGTTTCCAACAAATTAGCAACATCCATCCAATAAGGAAGCATGAGAGCTGAAACCCTTTGCAATTGGATTCGATCACAATTTCACAAGCAATTAACAGCAACCACTTGTTTTCCAATATTTCGGCCACTGAAGAGCCCAACTAGCGCTGCTGGAGCATTCTCGAGGCCGTCGGCTATGTCTTCCACGTACACTACTTTCTCTTCCCTAATCTTTGGCAATATCATTTCCAGATACTTCGGATAGAGGTGGTAGTACTCGAAGACCAGGTATCCTTGCATTCGGGCTTGTTTCATCACGATCGACGTCAAATTGTGCACGCCTTCAGGCTGCTCAAGGTTGTACTGAGAGATCATCCCGCACACAGCAATGCGAGCACGGACTCTCAGGTTGAGTAGAACTGCATCCAGCATCTTTCCTCCCACGTTATCGAAGTAAATGTCGATGCCTTCAGGAAAGAGCCTGCCACGATGATTAAAGGGTTGGCATTAGATTTCACATCAGATATTGGTAAGAGCTTTAAGTTGATTCGCCAACTGTTAACTATGGGGGCAATTACAAAGTTTTAGGATTAGCTGTTCACTCGGATGCCCCTCAAAATTTCAGGGTCAGTATCAGATACAACTTGGCTATGGTTTCACAATTGGCCATCAGATTTCAATTGCAAGTAATATTGCTACTGACCTTTTCAATGTTGCAGTAAAGTCTGGCTCTTCTTTATAGTTGAAAGCCTCATCAAATCCAAATTTGTTCTTCAACAGATCAACCTTAAATCGAAGCAGTTACAACAAAATTCAGACGTAAGAAGCAAACTGATTAAAAGGGAAGAAAATGGTTCAAAAATGTTGTTCCCTAATATTTCTAGCAATCACCTGAACGAAACAACAATGTTCTCATCATCGTGTGGGCAACATATGGAGAAGATATTACATCCAAAAAAACTATGACATGTATATAAATAAATACTAAAAAAATCCAAAAAAAAAAAAAGAATGAAAACATTGCATTAAGACAAGGAGAGCATATAGACAACAGAAACTGTTTAAGTACTAAGGAAAAAAAAAAATAGCAAACTACGGAATGAACAATCATAAGGCCTGGCTACCTTCTCATTGCTTCCAGCACTACCAACGACATAGCACCCTTGCAGCTTAGCGAACTGCCCCACGAGCTGACCAACTGCACCACATGCTGCTGAAACAAAGACATATTCTCCTTTCTGAGGAGAACAAAGCTCATAGAAACCAATATATGCAGTCATACCAGGCATACCTGTCAAGCAAGTTTTACATATATCAAAACTTGAGAGGATAGGAAAAATGAACAGCAGAAAGGTGCTAATTAATACGTATAATTATTCTTCAAACAGTGTCAACAGATCGGTTCCTTGAACATAAACAAACTAGAAGCGAACAAAGGATGGTTCATGCAGTGCTTCATCACAAGCCAGGTGCGTTCAATAAGACAAGCTTTGGTAGCCAACGAATGATCTCTTATAAATTATAACCATAAGAGACTATTTTAGCTCCTAATAGTGGGAGATTGGTAGTTTAGCTTTAGCTTTTGACCTTTGGGTCCTGGACCATTATCAGTCAATATTTATCCTTCAAATAAAATTGATTAAGTTTTATGCATCCATTCAACAATCAAGTTCTCAGATAAGCTAGTTGAATTGAGTTTCAAGGATGTAAGACTTGATTTGTCTCCTATTCCTTTCTTCTATATGACCGAGTATTAGCTAAGTATTTGCGTTCTAAACTTTCTTATGCTATCCAAATAAAGTGTCAATTCATTTCTTGCGTCGCATAGGCATATTGAGTCTAGTGGACTTGGAGTGAGCAACAAAAATCCAATGATTGTGACAATTAGGACTTAGGAGGCCTTAATAGTGATAAAATTTGGCATGTCATATTGCAGAGTTTGTATTAGACTACTCTCCTAGCACAATACTCATAGGATGTCATCTGTATCTTTGAAAAGGAACAAAAAAAGAGAAGAAAAAACTAGCTTTACTACTTCCCTTCCATTAACATTTCTAGGAATCTGTAGTTCATATATTGGAAAAGAGACAACTTACCAAGAATTCCAGCATAGAAGGAAAGAGGCACATCTGTGTGTCGAATTTTGAACATGTGATTTGTCTCCGTAATCAGACTATACTCTTCCCAACCAGTTAATCCCCAGACCAAATCATCCTTTTTGAAGTCTGGATGTGCAGAATCTAAAACTTTAGCCACGCCATATCCAGTTATAGGCTGCATCATGTATCAATTTTTTTAAAAAAATAAGTCAGTTACTCAAGGAAATGAGTAGTGAACATATGACACCACCAACCCATCGGTCCAATACTTCATTAAAATTCCCCCTCCTTACAATTACTTAACATGATATACCAATATGAAAAATCAATTTTCTCAGTATAATTTTCTATGCCTTTTCCATATTTTATAGGGTGACCTCTTACCACTATATCCACAAGTAATTGCCGCATATTTAATATGCTATTCTCATAACATTATTGATAACAAATTACTTTGCAGATATCATCTCTGACTTTAAAATGCCCATCAAACCTTGGGTAAACAATCAACAATTCTTTTGTTAAGAAAATTTGAACAGATATAAAAAATGAAAGATATAAAAGACAAACACATTAAGAAGACAAACAAAAGTACTTGTGTTCTTGTTAAGAACCGAAGGTCCAAAACAAAAAGAAAACTAAGAGAATTAGGCAGTGAGCCACTGATCACCAACCCCCGGTTTGAAAGTTTCAAAATAGGCTCTTTTACGATTCTTCTTTAAGTATCAAAGAAATAAGTTACTCTAGTTAAACTTGACTTTCAAATACTTTGAGTTCACTCCAATTACAGATCGAATATATAGCCTGCAGACTTAGTAGAATAAGCTCAATATTAATGGAGTTTTCAACCCCTTATTCATAATGTTCTTTTCTAGTACTAGTTATTTAGTTTTTTGTTTTTTCAAATTCAATAAACTTTGAATTTCAAAGAAGAAAATAAAATAGCTATCTTCTATGCACATAATCTCACCCTTCCACAAAGAAATGCATGCAAGCAAACTATAGTAGTTTGTTGCGTATAAAAAAAACAATTCAAGAAGTCAATACAGTCTAGATCATAGGGAAAATTACTAAACAGCCAAAGGACCACGCATGAATCACTGACCAAACCCGGTGCATAAGACTCAACGTAATGTCCTTGAATCTTCATCATTCTCGTTGTCATGTAGGGATCACATGACAGATAGAGATTCTTCACAACAATTCCTTTACAGCTCTCTGATACCTTGAGTTTTAAGGTACCAATGACCAATTGCATGTCTGTTTCTTTTGGAAAACCACACACATAATTTTTGAGTATCACCCTAATGTTGCTTGCTTCTTCAATCCCTTGGCTCGCCATTACTTTTTCTTTCTCAGAGAGACCAGGGCAAATGAATAGAGGGAGAGTTGTTTTGAATGTGTACGGTATAGGTGAGATGTGTGGGAAATGTGAAAAGTTTTCTATTTTTGTTAGCTTATTTATTTAATATCTACTAGTCTTATCTCCTATGCACACCCACTATATATGCGTGGGTGAAATAAATAAACTTTTTTGCTCAAAGGGTGAAATAAATAAATAAATTGATTTATTATTTGGATAATTGTTAAAAAGAAAGTAAAAAATTAGTTAACTATTGTAAGTATAAAAAAGGGAAAAATAAGAATAACTGCTGAATGTACAGTTTTTTAAAATAGAGAAAAAAAAACACAAAATTGAGATTGAAAAGATATGAGACCCTAATGAATTTATGTACAAATCAAGTTGTAAAATAAAAACAATATAAACAGGGGTATGTTTATCTTTGATTTTCCCATTTTCCCTCTTTTATATTTATGATAATTTAAATTTTTTTTAACAATCATTCAAATAATAACTTTTTTTATTTATTTCACACACATAGTGGATGTACATAGGACTAGAATATAAATATCTTTCTTTTCTATCTCTTTATATAAAAGTGCCAACTTCAAGTGTTAGAAGTGATAAATATGAATATCCCTGAGGATAATAGGCAACAGGAGTTTATAGAGAGATTTCTTTCTCTTTGATATTAAAAGCCATGGAATATCAATTTTATAATTTTTTTAAAAAATTTTAATATAGCATACACTAAAATCATAGTTTTTTTTCCCCTTAATCTTCATGAATGTTATTAGAGGATGTTAAATAGAGAGACAATGAATTTAGGATGTAGGATGTAACAAAGTATTAAAATGACAACATAATGGAATTTTAGTTATTATATATAGAAAACTTTGTATTTTCCGTGTGGCATTTATTTGATCTATTAATTTGATTCTAAAATAATTCAAGTTCTGTAATGATTAATGAAAACTAAAATATGAGAATGAAAATTAATAAATTGATAGAGCTTGTTAGATAACTTACTCATAAAATTTTTAATACTATTTTTTTATTTAAAAAGGCATATTAACTGAAAATTTTGACAATATTGTCACTGTCCAACAGCTATCAATTAGATTTTATGTACATATAGATGTAATTTAGGTTACCTTTTTATATATTATTGATTTACACAATGAATTCTATTTATAGGGAACTCTATGAACTTTATCTAATGAATTTTACGTAAACCTTTCCCATTCTAGATTCTTCAAAAAAAAAAAATTCTAATTGAAAAGAAAAAATGCTGTTTACTTGACTCTATTGTAGAGGAGGAAATCGTTAATAAGTAGAATAGAAAGCAAACCGTATATAGAAAACGAGAAGATGTTCTTTGGGGTAGCAAACTAGCAACGGCCATCACGGATGATGAAAAGGTCAAGAGTAATTTATGGCCTTCAGTTTGTTCTCTACCTATTGAAATAATCTCGGATGTGGAAAGTTGTTGTTTTTGTTGAGAATTCGAAGGGTAATTATGCTCAAATAATTAAAAGGAATTAGAGAAAAAACTACCACATAATAGTTAACTTCTAAAACCATACCATAACTTGCAAAACCATTACTTTTATTCTGTTGTATTTCCAGCAGTTAAAACCTGATAAGAGGAGCTCTAAATAACGAATAAAACAGCAAAAAAAAAAAAAAAACAAAATGTAATCAAGAAACAATATTCCTAGTGTGGGTGTGTTCATCTAATTAATCATGATATGATAAAAGGGAAGAGGAAATTCGATCAGAAAGAAGAAAAAAAAAAAGGGAAAAGAGAGAGAAGCATGAACTAACTGAACCAGGCGTGTAAGGGTCAGAATAATGTCTTTCGAGCTTCATCATTTTGAAAATCATGTAGGGATCACAGGAGAGAAAAAGATTCTTGACAACAACTGCGTTGGAGCCCGCTGATGCTTTTAGTTTGATGGTCCCTGCAGTCAGGTGCATATCTGTTTCTTGTGGAGAACCGGATACATAGTGTTTCAATATCACCTTCATGTTGCTTGCTTCATCAATGGCTCCCGTCGCCATCTTAATTTGCTTTCTTTCTTCCTAATTTCTCTCTAATACTATGGAGAGAATTACAAATTGAACTATTGAAGAGAGGTAGAGAAAGGAGAGGGTGTCTGGTATTTATAGGCAGAGAGAGATATATGTTGAAGCTAATGGTATATAATGTGAAAGGTTTTAGGATGCATGTACATTCTATACATGGTGCATTCTTTTTTAATTTTTAGATTTAGAGGAATAGATTAAAATTCAATTTTTTTAAGTAGAGATATATGTATTTTTTATTGAATCAAATACTTGGATGTCATTACATATTAGCCAGTTAAAGATAAAAATAAGAAAAGTCAACTTTTTTCAGGGACAGCTTAATAATCTTAAAAGCTTAAAGCTAAATAACCAAATGAGATTTTTTATATTGATATTGAAAAAAATTATTAAATTTTTTAATTAAATTTATAATTCAATAAATTAACTATCACATTAAATAGAGATAATATGATAATATAATAAAAACTCTAAATTAAAGTAAACAAGTTTGCAAAGATTAAAATAATAATACCTAATTGTTGAATGAGTATTACAAACAATAAATGAGGCTTACAGCTTTAAGAAAATAATAATATAACAGATTTCGTGTATATTTTTTGAAGGAAAATTGAAGGTAAAAAAAGATAGAGCAAATGAGGAAAGAAGAATTCAAAAATAAATATTATAAATTGAATAAAAAATGATAATTGGTTTTATATATGAAAAAAAATAACTGTTAGAGATCATTATATGCATATTACCATCAATTGATTGTAAATAGAGAAAATAGTTGAGAAAAAAAAGTTATTAAAAATTATTAAATATATATTATCATTATTTGATTGGAAATAAGAAAAATAGTGGAAAATTAATAGTATTGTAGGAACTAGGAAGTGATAAAAAATTTAGATTTATTAAACACATAATTAAGAAAGTGAAAGAATATATTATTTTATTAATTATCTCAACTTTCACATGAAAAATGAGTTAAATAGTTGAAAATAAATAAGTATGTGAAGGGGAGAGAAAATAAATATCTATTAGGCTTGAGAGATTGGTAAATATTTTAATAGTTATCTTAATTTTTGCATATTTTTAATATAATTAATTATATTATTATTGTAAAATTAAAAAACTTACTAAAAATTTAGGGCCTTAAGCCACTGCTTTAGTGCTGCCTTATTCATTGCATGTGCATATAATATCACCATTTTCTCTGTTTTTTTTGTAGTTTTTTTAAACGAGGAAAATTTTTGGATTTGTTTTTTGTATCTAGCTGTATGCTATGTCGACAAAGGGCAAATCCAAATACGCATAAGATCTTTGAAACATCCAAAATGTTTAATGTCTGGATTATTGTGGCGAAGAGCATAATGGGGCAGCTGCCAATGTCCATCAGAAATAAGGAAGTGGTCTTTTGGGTTCATTTTGTTGGGAAATATCATATAAACGAGTATACATGTGCAATGAAAATTTAAAAACCTTTTCCTTAGGCAGAAATTTTTTTTTTGGATAAGACAGGAAGTGTTTAAATTAATAATAGGGGTTACCTTTAAATCATAACCCTCCATGTATAGGAAGACAAGTTTAACCCATATCCAGCGCCCTGTACAAAATCACCCTTATACAAAAACAACCTTTGAACTGCCCTACACAAAATGGAACCCACCTTGTAGAAATCCAAGCCTGAGTCCTGATTGATTAGTCTGGCACTTAGGGACCGCAAATGCAAGGTTGCAACCTGCAAGTGAGCACACTATCAACCTCAACTTTCCATATTTCGTGCCAGTATCCAGGGAAAATGAATGCAATTCTTATGAATTAGCAAAGCACAAGTGGAAAAATGGAAGGGTGATCAGATGGTTACCCCATTTAGATGCATTTAACTCGTAAAATTTGTTAGAATTTGTGACAAAGGTGAGATATTCATACTGACCCATGAAGGTTAGAGGATTATGTTCATTGAGCATATTTTGTTTGATCATCTAAAAGGAAATTGACTTTGAGGACTGTTATTATTGTGTTCATTTACAAGGAGTTTCAAGATTTTCAAATTGGTTTTGGATTATTAAAGTGGTGAATTGTCTAAAAAATAAAAAATAAAAAATATAAATAGAGATGTAGTGTTTTTATTAGTGATAATCAGACCTTAACTATTTCAATTTTTAATTTTCTTAAAACCCAATCTTGTTCTATATATCTCACATATAATTGTTTATTATTATTGTCTAATGCTTCACCCTTATGATATTGATTTTTCCGATATAAAAGATGAAAATGTGAAAAAACATTACCAATTCAAACCTTTACACACAAGCATTTACCTCCTTCCATAACATTTAAATTAATCATGTCATAACTTTGATTTTTGAAAATATATGTTAATTTAATTTTTTTCATCAATATCATCTTTGGATTCTTTATTAAATTTTAATGAATTATTATTTTATTTGTATTTAACGACTGTTGCATTAACTTTTTTCTTCTAAAACATAATGACAATCTTAATTTTAAAAAATGCTTGCCATGCACTTGTCAATTTAACAAGAGAATGATAACGAGATATTAAGAAGTCATAATCCATAATTATTTAATCAATAAAACAGTCATAATGGAATCCAGGGCGGGTATAAATATATATATAAATAAAAAAAGAAAAACTTGTCAAATTTGAATAATGTTCCTCCCATCAGGATTCTGAGCATGGATTCCTACAAAATGACGAATGAGGGCATTCGCTGCAAATATCAGCTCCTTCTCTCGCTTCATCTGTTCAGCTGCAACTTGGAGAGCACTTGTACCCCTCTTCTTCCTTGCAATTTGATCTTGTATCTCTCTCTACTTATATACCATATCTTTATCATTTGCCTATGTCACCATATGGCTTCATTTGGGGTTAAGATTTTGTCCAACACCTGACAAATAAGTGTGCAGTGAAAGATTATGGTTTTTGAATAAATTTAAACCTCAGATTGAGAAATTTTTTTTTCAGCAAATCTTGTATTACCTGAATCCACCAGCATCTCTGTTCATGCTATTCTGATCTGATTCTGTTCTTTTAGATGAATGGATGCTCCTCCTGCTTTCAGAACCAGTACCACTGACCTTCCTAACTTGATGAACTATGGAGCTTAAGATGTCCAACTCAGCTGATACAAAGGCATGTCAATTTTAATGAGAAACTGCAAAAGCTCGTGATATTATAACAATCAACAGATGCTGGAGAAGGCAAGCCTCAGAAGGAGACTTTTCACATACTTTAGCAGCCAAGAGTTTCTGCAGTTTAATAGGTAATAAAGAAGTGTCCCTATAGGAACATGAAGAACTCCCCATGACCAAGGGACTTGAACTCCTTAACATAAAATTGCTTAGCCAGCCAAGACTCACATTTAAACAGCTTTCTTGCCAAAATTAACTTTTGGTTTTGAAGTGCTTTACCACCATAAATTTCATGATTAGGCTCAAAATAAGCAATAATTTTCCTAATAACATCTTCTGCTATCACACCTAGCAACTAATATATTTCTAAAGAGAAGAGACAGAGGATGAGGAGTCATAAAATTGACAATCCATTTTTGTATAAACACTGGTGGTTGTAGAAAAGACAACACATTTGGATGCTGTTTGAGGCTTCCATCATTGTCATTGCATTATCACTTACACACAAATCTAAGCCTGGGTATGTCAAATCAAAGTTATGCAGAGGGAGAAACCTTGCCATTTTTGGAAATTGTTCAGTTGATCAGGTTATTTCATTCTCAGCAATTTGGGTATTTAATCTCTTTCTCTCTTCAAATTAACCACATCAAAAAATGGCACCAAGCGTTATCAACCACTCAACCCACAATCAGCCATGCAACCCTAACAAAGCAAATGCTGGTGACCGTAAAATCGCAAGCCACAGTTCTAACAGAAGCAAAATTGACAATCAAACTTTAAAAGGAAAAAAATCCAAAATGCTACTATCTGAACAAAGAAAGTAATGTAATAATAAAATCTAATAAACATCAAACTAAAACAGAATAAGATCCAAGCCAAAAAACAAACAAACAAACAAGAACTATCAAAAAGACCTGATAATTTCAGATACAATCCAATCAATAATGAGGCCCATTTCTAGAGAAACAGGAACTTATTAAAATAAAGCCACAAAAAATAATTTAACCAACTATAACAATTAAAGAATCACCAAGGAAGTCATCCACCCCACCACCCAGACACCACAAAAAAAAAAAAAAGACTTCAAACAAAGGACAAAATCCATAGAAAGTGAAAAGAAAAAATCCATGTAACAAATTATCAAATTATAGGACATCATACAGAAAGTGAAAAGAAACTAACCACGTAATATATAAACAAATTACAGGATATCACACACAAAGTGCAAAGATAACAAACATTCAAGTATGTTACATATAAATCTTTACATTTTAAAGCCAAAAGAGGAAATTTTGAAAGTGTAATAGATTCCTAGTCTATGCTGACAAAAGGCCAACTCCATTACTGTTAAGGACTAACAGTTATAAATATTTTATACTATACTAAAGAAAGTTTTACCAGGTCATAATTATCAATAATGCACCTTTGAACCAATAACCAAGACATTAGAGGTTGTAATTTATTAGCGGATTCACCAACTTGTGAAAAAAATCATGATACATCACCGTAAAGCCCATACCAAAATCAAAACAAGTCATGCTTTATGAACACAGTTTTATGCAGCTCTCAAGGCAATGGTTTCTATCAATGCATGAGACTTTTCCTACTAAATGATAGTAGAAACATATGCAATACATACATCGGGCTTTGAATATGCACGCCAAGCTTTTCCTTGCTTGAGAGCAACAAAATCCAGAAATTCATCAATAATAATATCTTGATTTTTATGATGTCCATATATTCATGAAGGTAAGAATTATGTCCTCATTTGTTATTTCAAACACTTCCGTATTATCCGAGCTAAGTAGAACGTAACACAAGATAAGCATGTGGCCTAGCAAAGGGCCAAGCTCCGGCATTGTAGATGTCTTAACACCCAAATTCTCACATATTGTCAACTCCCACTCATAGAACATAGTAATTTGCCATACTCCCACAAAACATTGAATAAACGCATTTACCTAAACAATAGACAGAAAAGAAAGCAAGAAATTGAAAAAAAAAAAAAAGGATTGAGGGAAATAATCATTATGTTTCAAATAATAATTTGGTCTCCAATTGCGGGAGGGTAGAAAATTTTTATTTGTCTGCTACATATTAAAAGCTCTTCTCATGTAGCTAGACAGATGTGCCCTGCCTGTTCCCTTCTCCCCCAAAAGGAAAACTAGCAAACATTTTGTCATCAAAGTTTATAATTCCATAAAATTCCAACTTTTTACTGCAATATATATCTTCAACCCTCAAAAGTCAAATAAATAAATAAAATAATAAATCCTACTCTTCCCTTATGGCTCAGTTTAGTTGTCACTTTTGCTACTTGCCTATCTCTAATTGCTACTTGCTTACTATTAAGATAAAAGCAAATTCTAAATTAATTAAAAATTAAAAATTAACTAAAATAGTAAAATGTAATTACCATCTCTAACATAACTATTCTTATATAAAGTAAAATGAAACATTTGATTCTCCAATTAATTGCAACATTTTAGCTTTGGAATTTTCAATAAAATTATTTGCTTTGTGATTTAAATCGTAATTCCTGTTCTCTCGTTGGTAGAGGAGGAAACAAAATGCAAGTAGCAAAGTAAAAAACCACAATCTTCTTAGAAAACCTTTATCTGCAGCAACAAACAAAAGGCAAGTTGGCATATAGTTGCCGCCTACTCTACCTCAAAGATTTCAATATCCATATTAACCACTAAATCGCAACAAAACGTGCATATATACAAACATATAATTTCTGGTGTGTAATTACCCTTCCTTCAATGGTTATAAGCTTTTGAGGAGATGGAATCCCCTGCATATCCAATCCCAACGAGCTCCATAAATCAGCCTGCAGCGCCACCAGAGCTGCCTACGAAACTTTACACGCTGTAACACTCTTTCTGGACGCAATACGCTCGCCCCACGCCTGCTTCACGGCCTGTCGGTTCGTTCTCGAACCTCCTTCAGGACTTGGCCAGAGGCGGTGGTGTCTCTCTGGTTGCTAGTTGCCCGGTTCTATTGAGTACCTGTTGTATGTTAGGGTTTGGAGGAAAGAAATTATCGGGGTTTTGCAAGAAGAAATATTTGGGTTTTTGTTGGAGAGAGAAATTTGGTTGGATTAGAGATTGGAATGATGGCTGAGATGGAGGACGGGCACCCGGGAGCAGAAGGGAAAGAAGGAAGTGGGAATTAAGCTAGGATTTAAGAGTGCTGTCGTCAGATATTTTATTGTGACGCTTTGCAGCTGAAATTAAACTCTTGTAACTTTGAGAATCGCTTGTCCAAACAGGGTCGTCGCCGGAGGGCTACGAAAGTGAGATCGGCAGGCAAGGAAGAGAAAGGGTGTTTGGCGTATGCGACAGCCGCTAAGTGCTCTGCAAGTTGCAGCTGAACAGATTGAGCGAGAGAGCGAGTTGATGTTTGCAGCGAATGCCCTCATTCATCAATTGGCCCAGGATCCTCTGATTGAGATTGAAAACAATCCTTTTGAAGGAATCGATGCTCAGAATCTTGATGGAAGGATCATTATTCAAATTTGGTAAGTTTCTCTCTTTCCTTTTTTTCTCTTATACCTGCCTTTGATACTATTATGATTACTTTTGATAGGGTCGGAAGTTAAGCCCAGGTCATGTGGTCTTAATCAATCTATAAAACACGCGTTCCTCTTGTATGTTTTCTGATTACATATTTAAGACTTATCTCGAAAGCATGTTTGATAGATATTAAAAAATATATATTTATATATTTGTTTAATATTTAAAACTTATCTCCAAGATTGGTAGGTGTTGAAAAATCATGTTTATATATTTAAAATCTTTTTATTGTTAGGTTCGTGATATTTTATTTTTTTAAATTATGTAAGTCATTGATTCTATTATGATTACTTTTGTTATGTTTGAAACTTAACCCAAACTCATGTAGCCTTAACTCGAAGACACGTCTAGTAGGTGTTGATAAATCTATGTTTATATAAATTAATATATAAGACTCATATTAAATTCATGATATTCTATCTTATTTAATTGTGGTTTTAACTCGAATATATGCTTAATAGATGTTGAAAAATCTATGTTTAATATTCAAGACTCATCTCGAATTTATTACATTTTACTTCACCTAATTATGCAACGACCTGCTATATTATTTCACCTAATTATGTAACATTCGAGAAGGATCCTACATTAGTGAGTAGAGGAGAGCTTTGCTGATGCCATTTTTATTCATATTTGTAGAGCTCAACCTCATACGATTTTAAATTTTGAAAATAGAGATTAAATAAGTTTAAAATTTACTGTTTATATTTTCAACTCAAAAGACATGCTTGATAAGTAATGAAAGATCCATATAAATATACCCAAAACTTACTTTATCTTTTACTGATGTAGAATCCGTGATAACTTTAATGATTATATATTTGTGGATTATTGCTTTTTAATATATCGTTAATTTTTTCACATTTTTCAGCTAAATTGATAATACATAAAAATTTCCAAAAATAAGTTTATCATTATATTTCATAAAAAAAATTGATGCAACAATTACTAATTAGTTATAGAATAATAATTGAATAAAATTCAAAAGACAATCTAAAAGCTATATAGATGAAAAGATAAAATCAACATATACCTTAACCCTAAAATTATAACATAATTAATTTCGATATAAGTTAAATTCATCTGGTAGTATGATCCAAATGTATGGAGCTAGATACCTGTTTGAAAGATTAAATTGGCAATATATTCCCACTTTCCATTTTTCAGGTTTAAAAGACCAAAATTTTAAGAGCCATTTGGCCAATAAGTATTAATAATGATATAATCAATTATAAAATATATAAAATTAGATTTGCCTTTAGGAATATTTGAAGTTGACACAACCAAGGTCTGCTTATTACTCATAAACACTACATCTTCATCCATACTCAGGGGCGGAGCATAGCATGGTAGTCTCCCAAAATTTTTAAAACTTTTATTTATTATATATATTTTTAATACTCTTTAAATTATTTTTTATTTAATAATTAATACAAACAATTTTTTATTTATTCTATACTTTTTCTTTTGTCTTATTATTATTTGTTTATTTTTTTATTTGTATTTTATTTGCTCATATGTTCATAATTTCTATAAACTTTTTTTTTAATTTCTATGAACCATCAACCATATTTTCTTTTTTCTTTTTTGTTATGTAAGTTTTATCTTCTACTTACCATGTTTTTTTTCTCTGTTACGTGAATTTTATTTTCTATGATTTTAGTTTTTGAACACGATTAGTTGTTGCTTAAAATTTTATTAATGTATCATTTTTTTAATCTTATTTGATAGATTAATTCACATTGTTTTGATTCTTTCGATTTTTTTGTAGATAATTTAATTGTTTACATTAAAAGGTATTACTTGTATTTTCATTATGGAGTCAATAATTGAATTGATGGATTGGAATTCAAAAAATATCATCGGGCACAACTTTTCTTAAATGATTATTATAAGTCTTTTTTTTCTTATTTCTTTTGATTTACATGTTATATAAAATTTTTGTCTATTATAAAGCTTTTGATTTTAGGTTAAGTTCAACATGTTAGCTTTAAAAATTTTTAACCTTTATTCCTCATTGTCTTTGACTCCAAAATAAAAATTGACTAGCTCTGCCTCTATTTATATTTTTTACCTCTTTTTCCCCTAACAAATCACCATTTTGATTATCCAAAATAAATTTGAAAACCTTGAAACTCTTAGTAAAATGAGCACAACAATTTTAGTCCTTAACACCAACTATCCTTTTTTATTTTTTAAAGAGAAAGATTCATTAATCAACCAAGAAAGAAATCCTTTCTTGGGAATCAACACAAAACAGGGAAAGACCACAAATGATAAAAAAGAAAACAAAAAATAAAAATAAAAAGAAAGAAAAGAAAGACCCTAAAACAAAGAAAGCAAAAAAACAAAACTCAATGAAAGAACTCAGAAATCAGCCAGAAAGATTTGTTGAACCAAGTAAAAAGTATAAGGTCTGCAAATTTATCAAAGCACTTTATAGGCTCAAGTAAGCTCCTAGAGCATGCTATGAGATGATGGATGGTAGCCTGCAAAGTCAAGGTTCTTTTAGAAGTGACAGTGAACATACTTTGCATGTTAAAAACTCAGGTAATCAAGTTCAATTAATAGTTTCACTTTATGTTGACGATTTGCTTATTATTGGACCGGATGGTAGTTTTGGGAATGATTTCAAATTGAAAATGCCAAAAGAATTTGACATGAGTGATTTTGGCAAGATGTCACGTTTCCTTAGTTTGTAGATTGAACAAAAAGTTGATTGCATATTGATACATCAGAAGAAGTATGCTTTTGATTTGTCGAAAAAATTTAGAGGGGAGAATTTCAAGATAATAGCAACACCTCTGGCCTATGGTAAGAAGCTGAGTAGGGATGATGGAGGCGTTGAGACAGATGAAACTTCTTATAAGAGGTTGATAAGAAGTCTGTTGTATCATTTTCCTACAAAGCCTAGCATTATGTATGCCACTAGCTTACTCTCTAGATTTATGCACAATCTTTCTGAAATTCACTTAGTTGTTGCTAAAAGAGTCCTCAAGTATGTTAAAGGGACACTGAGCTATGGACTGAAGTTTAACAAAGTAGAAAAAAAAAAGAACTTCAAGGCTATTGTGATAGTGATTGGAGTGGAAGCGCACGTGGAAGACATTAAGAGTGCTAATGGGTGTTGTTTTTATTTTAGAAGTGCTATTTTTGCTTAGTGCTCCAAGAAGTAGGATTTTGTTGCACAATCTTTTGTTGAAGCAGTATATGTTGTTGCTTTAGCTGCAAATTAGGCAATTTGGTTGAGAAAATTTCTTCGAGATCTGAAGTTTAACTATGATGAACCTATTGCACTTTGGATTGACAACAAGTCTGTCATTTCTATGACGAAAAATCCAGTAGATCATGGAGGATCAAGCATATCAGAATCAAATATCATGCCATTAAGGAGGTAATTAAAACTGATGAGATATTTGTTATTCATTGTGGTACAGGCGAGCAAATAGTTGACATTTTCACCGAAGGGCTTGATAAAGACAAGTTTGAAAATCTGAGAGCTAAACTCAAAGTTTGCAATTCAAGCTTCTAGGAGGTGTGTTGAAGATAAAGCTTGCTGCAACCATGGCGTGTAACATCTTTAAACCTTGACATTTACATCTTAAAGCTTTGGGTGTAACATCTGATACCTTGACATGTACATCTTGGAGCCACATGGTGTGTAACCATCTGCAACATTTCGGCATGTGTAGCTTCAGAAGTTGTAACGTGTAGCGCATTATGATCATGGTGTGTATAACTACTGTTTATTTTTTTTATTTTTGTCATTTTTTGTTTAATTTTAGCATCTGTTAGTGCATTTGGATTGAAAAATTTCAAATATAAAAAAACCTTTGGTTTGTTATTGCTTTGGAGAGTGTGAGTGCTAGATCAGCATATGACACCGTTTGTTTTTTCCTTCTTTGTAAAAGTCTTGATATAAAGGACTCCTTTTAGCTATTATTTTATATAATAGAAATAGTCTTCTTCCCCAAAAATACTTTTAGCTATGTTTCCTTGAACTCCATTGTTATAGTCCATATTCATAAGATAAATATATTTATAAAAATCTAACAGTCCTGGACTCTTAAAATGGTTGGATTCTCTCTGCAATATCCAGATGGCATGTGAAATTTTAATTGACGTACGCAGCTGATATGGCTAAGCACACATGCATGAAGACAACTGGGCAAAACATCAGTCTGCAGTACTATTTTGCACTCAAAATGAAAAAGAGATTAAATAAAAAAAATAAAAATCATTTGACTGGAAAATAACTTACCAAGAATCCCAGCATAGTAGGAAAGAGGGACATCCGTATGCCTGATTTTGAAGAGTCTTCCAGGTCTTGCTATGAAACTGTATTCTTCCCATCTTCTGGTTCGCCAAACAAAGTCACCTTCCTTGAAGCCGTGGTGCGTTGAATCCAAAACTCGAGCCACTGCAAACCCAGTAATCGGCTACAAGTTTTCATCAAGGAAGGGACAACAATCACGATATAAGCAACCATACTAAATGGCCATCTCCCTTCTTTTTTGGGATAAGTAAAAGTCTTCTCACTCCACTTCATTACTAAACATGAATGCCATATATTCTTATGAAGCCTGGTGGTAAGTTCAAGAAGCATATGCAGGGTATCATCTTATTATACTCCTAAACCCGAGCAGAAATGTTTAAATTGTCAAAATGACTTTGAGAAATCATAATGCTCCCACTAAAACTTATTCATTACAAGCATCCCAATTATGATAATCATAATCAATGTCCAAAATTTTAAATCATTAATAAGAAAAGACGAATTTCATGAAATTTATCAGGAATTGAAAATATTCTATATTCTTCCTAAAGAAGGATGTAATACTCTTCTATCAATTTAATCAAACTTTGTCCTGTGAACAATTGAAGTGTGGAATACATAACACTTTTTAAATTCATATTATTCTGTCAAAGGGAATCAAAAACTGAAAATTTCAGTTGAGGAACAACCCCTGAAAGAATTATACATATAATCAACAAAATTTGAGTCATAGGCTTCGGCTTCAGCTTATCGTT